CAGTAGGTCGTATTATATACAATTTTGTCCGTTAAGAATAGCTTCTTTTTCTGTATTTAATGACCAATTCATTTGGATGACTTTTCAGCCTTCTCTGATGTGTTACTGATATTATATCGATTTCATCCTTTATAGTGGCATACCTAAGTGGTGGTGCATTTCCGCGTTTTTGAGAAACAGTAGGAAATTTCATAAATTTTGTATTCGCTGTATTATTTGGACATTTGAGTCGCAAGCATTGCCCTAGAGCTATGTACCAAATATTCAGACAGATTAAAGATAGTCTATTATAAGAGACGCTTGTTTTCGACAAGAAGCTTGTTGTTTCGACACGGTATCGAGTTTAAATGAGTAAAACGAATTTTGAATTCGTGTAAGTTTTGATACGATATCTCAGGATTAAACGTTGGCCCAAGTGTAATCCAAAATATCGTACGCTACATTTTCGAATGTGGTAAGAATTTACTTTTTGAATGGTGGTACTACGTAATTTTCGTGTTTTATCAAGTAAACGTGACTATTTTGAAAAAAATAATTAAACACCTTTCCCCGATTAGGTAAATTAGGTAAATAATTACAAGTTCAATTTGTACATAACAGTTCGTTGCATTCTTTTAGTAAATAGAAAAGTTGCGAAATTTTAGTTTATTTTCTCAAATAATAATATATTTTTTTACTCGACACGTGTAAATCAGGTTTTCCACCGTTTATTCGCTTTCGATTTCAAACAGTCGATTTCTTTGTTCCACAAAAACACGAACTCTTGCGTGCTAGTGTAGCGTGAGAAGTTTCTAAGTTCTAAGTCAGATTATGATTTAATTTATAATCTGAGAAAGTTCAGAAAAGGGCACATAATGCCCTAGAAAAACTTAAATGGGAATACCCATAGAATGGACAAGGCGGCGTCTATGACACTGCATGTTACAATTCAAATTCGGATTAGCTACTAAGTGTGTGAATCATTAACCTGCTGAAAATTTAGACTGTGCTAAGCTTAGATATTGATTTATATAATTTGGAGTAAAATAAATTATTATTGAATAACAGTAAAATAAAGTAAGTAATTAAAGCACTTGTTTAATTGAGAGCGCCGTTTTTATGAATCTGGTTAAAACTGCCATAATTTCCTGAATAATAAAAATCATCCGCAACAACATAAAAATACCTTTGTATGGTTTGATATGCATCCTGACTAGATTGGAGATAAAATTAAAACTTGAAAAACTTTTATATCACACACGACTTCACTGTACGAAGGATTTGTAAAACTAAAGCACAAGATGACAGATGGACTGAATGTTTTATTTACCGACGTTACGTATATTGCAGTATCTTTTTGTTGACGAAAGGGTTTGATTACATTCTAACATACGAAGGAACCTTTTATGTCCCATCCCTCTGTTTTGTCTGTGAGCTCTCGACTTTTAAAGGGTAAAACGTGTAATAAAGAGTACATTTTGTTAAGAAGCTTGCGGATAGAGCCAAGACTTTCACGCTGGTCCGGTGAGGAAAATTAGGGCCTTGTAAAAGCTATTTTAGCTCTCAGCTTGGTAAAATTATAACTAAACAGCGAACCCCTAAAACTTAGGTAAACATTAGTAATCAAAAGACCTTAATCGAATCTTCCAGCATTTATAATTCAACAGCATTTGCTAAATCTACATAAAAAATTGGTAATTTTTAGAATTTTGAATTTATTTGATATGCTTTTAAGAGTATAATATTGTATTAATTCTCTTTTGCGTCAACTTTTTTCTTTTTGTATTATTAGTATTTATTTATATAGTTTATTGTTTTTATTTTATTGTGAATATTTTAATGACACTCGAATAAAAGCCAAGATTTAAACCATCGTAATAAAATAAATTAATATATTTCTGAGTTCCGAGGAGTTTTCATTTCATAATTGTTGTAGAATTTTTACGCTTTTTTAATTTTTATCAAACTTCCATTGAATATTAAACACCTTATATAATTGGCTTTAGTTTGTTTGTGACAACTTAATATCGTGTTAGGCAACCAAATGGCAAAAATCAGAGCTCTTTTATTCGGTCGTTTTTGGAAAATTCAGTACAAGACAAACAACTTCAGAGTTCTTAATGGGTTTTTTTAATTTTCTAGACATGGGATAATTTCCGACTACCGTTCCAAATGAAATTAAAAATACTAGTACTATAAAAAAGAACTTTATCCCCAATGTGAAAATATTTATATTGCCAAATTAAAACTAGCACGGTTTTTGACAAAAAAATTGCGATACCGGTATACATTACAATTTGGGTTTGATATAACGATTGTGAGAAGTAAAGTTTAGTAGCAAGGTATTCACAATCACCACAGTATTTATAGAGTTTATATGATACAAGCGTAAATCAATATCAATATAGTTAGATACATGTTTACAAAGTTAATTATGTGCAAAATACGTCTACACATGTAAATGTGTGCTTAGTTTAATTTGTAGATTAAGTGAGTTACAGATACAATGAAATTCAAGAACAAGCTTCCTTTTCAAAATGCCAACTTTTCATCTACAAAATTATTATAATATACAAAAGCATCCGTGTTATATCTCTGCTCAGCATCTTATCAGATTTTAGTAAAATGTGTTATATAACGACAATCCACAATCGTGGTCTTTGTCTGGAGTGCTCTTGCACTTCAGATCGATAGCTAAAGCGAAGGCCGTCTGGATCTGAATAGCCTAGATTCTATAGGCTGGGAAAATTATGTTCCCAGAGTTTAATAAAATTGTAGATAAAGGTTATTTTATTTGCTTCGTTTTTAACGATCGCAGGCGTTTAAAATTCCATTCATCCAAGTCGTTTGTACTAATTATAATATGTTTTAGATATGTGCAGAATCTAGGATAAAGGTATTAAATAATATCTTCTATGATACAATAAATATCATTATTGAAACTACTTTACTACGTTACTTACTACGTAAAAGCCTCAAAAACACATTCTTTTATGGTTATTTATTATTATTTCTGGTATTTCGATACTGTACAGTTCTCGTGGTCAGGGATTAATGTCGTTACTGTTATTGCATACTTAACAGTTTTCCAAATGTCGAAAATTATGTCATGAAACAAAAAAAGGGAGATTAAATCGAAAAAGTAGTATTAATCCCGAAAATTGAAGATAATAATACTAACAGATGACATGTGTGTGAAAATAACAGGATTAAAATTTAAGTATGTAATTGTCATCTTCATTATCATGATACACAGAAGAATAGGAAATTGAAGTATGAAGAAAATTTTACCCTTTAATTTTATTATTTGATGTGTTATATTCCATCAAATAAATTGTATGTAAATTACCTTCCTGGCTGTTAATATGGATATTGTCGCCGATCTTGTGACGCAAGAGGCTGGAATGGTTATTTTACTAATGCAATAGTCTACGAATTGGATTGCCAGTTGCCAGTTGGCCTACGATTGAGTGTCTTTTAGTCTGTTGGGTCTTTAGAAAGACATATTTCATCTATTTCTTTCACTAAGTACTTTTACGGTTTAATCTTGCGTTAATTATTATTACCTCATATCGCCCGTGACGGAAAACTGATAAGTATTCGAAATATCGGAAACAATATAATGACAAAATTAAATGCGAGTTTAAGCTGTTAAAATAGTTTTAATAATGTCTAAAAGACATATTACATATTACTTTACTGGTGGTAGGACTTCTTGTGAGTCCGCGCGGGTGGGTACCACCACCCTGCCTATTTCTGCCGTGAAGCAGTAATGCGTTTCGGTTTAAAGGGTGGGGCAGCCGTTGTAACTATACTTGAGACCTTAGAACTGGTTTCTCAAGGTGGGTGGCGCATTGTTGTGGATGTCTATGGGCTCCAGTAACCACTTAACACCAGGTGGGCTGTGAGCACGTCCACCCATCTAAGCAATAAAAAAAAAATGTATACGAGTTTTTGAGGAAGTGTTGTCTTCTACGGTTTTTTTACTTTTGCTACAAATCCATTAAATTATACGCTTTTATTTTGCTATTTTGCGTGATTATGGATAAATTAGTAACTTTGTTTGACATGTTGCAAAGGCTGTATAATCATACAAATACAGACTTGGAAATACTTGGTATAGGTCAAGGATGCTATGTGGCAACGATAAAAATAATGATAATCTAACTACTACGGAATCAAAAAGCCGTGGAAGCCTTTGGATAGAACTACTATTTAATCAAGTTGCAGTGAGCCGATATCGGACTACTGTTGGATTTGACTTCAGATTTGACCTAAATTGAAATAACAATGTATTTGACGTTGGAGTGTAGTTAATTGAAGCTGAAATAAATGTGTTATGAACTGGAAAAAACGTTACGTAGAAAGTAACAATTATAAAGAAAAAACAAAGTACAAAATTGCTTTGACAAAAATGATTAACAATAGAGAGAGTAATCTGGCTTCTCTGGTAGGCGGTAGCCGTATTCATTAACATTTCAACGTATAAACTTCCACCCACCTTGAGACGTAGCTCCTAATTTCGAAAGCATTGGCTTAATGTATTGTACCTATAGTACAAATTTCAACAATTAATTACTTTGTGACAGATTTCTTTTTTCTGTATCTGTTTCGATTATTTGATTTCACATTAACAGAAGCTACTCTACAAAGGGTATATTCGATTATTACTTTAAAATATCTCTACATAAAAATGGACATTTCACATGTGAAATAACGGTAGCAAATAGTAGATAAAACCCAATAAAATCAGTATAGTTTCATTACATTAACTTAGTAATATTATAGTCGCAATGAAGTGAGGTCAGACAATTCTAATCACACGGCTACCGGCAAACCGGCACAGAGCGGCGACTAGTATAATTTGCACATTTAACCCCTCGTTTGTCATACTGCAGTAACCCTTACTTTACATCTAAAGACTGATGTTTTTGCAACGAACAATTAAAGTGGAACATCGTGCAAATAACGATTCAGGGCGGACATGTCATTCAAGATGAAGCACATAATGGAAGTTTTACCTTATAGGCAATGGGCCTTTTCTTCGAACGCCGGAACTGTGGCGATTCCTTCGGGTGGCAGTTGTGGAAGGTGTTAGAAGCGCCGAGGCTCCTGGCCGCAAGGGGCCGGTGTTGCTGCGCTGGGCGAGCGATGGCCGCGTGCGCCTTAGGGTCGGTCAGCCGGCGGAGTGCTGCCCCTGGTGACAGCCGGCTGGGGTGCGCGCGCCTGCACCATCGCGCCTGCGCCCTCGACACTAACGCGCCGCAACATCTATACCAACCAATTTGCTACATCTCTTTACATTTGCATTCTTTACACGAGGTAAGATGACTTTTGACATTCTTTACACGACGATTTCGATGAGATCTACGCCTGTGAACATATTTTTTTTAATCGTGTCTATTCCAGTTTCTGTAATAGGTAATGGTGTCACTGAAACCATATCAGTACAAAGAACTTCATGGTTTCGTTTTCTTGCAGTAATACAAAAGGTTGTTGGCAATTTTTTGAGAATCTAAACGTAACGTACCTACATAAGTAATTTAAGCTATTTCGTGTTCTTTGGAATTTCATCTCAGTCTGAAAGCTTAATAAGTACGTTTTGTATTCAGAACGATTTAAATAGGTTTTGTTGCCTATGCGTCAAGATCAGCTGTTCGAATGTCGCCTATGTTATCGATTGCTGCCAGTTTCACGGTTGCGTCGCCAAAATTAAAACACAAAGTATTGTTTGGTGCTAGTTCAGATTGTGTTTAGTTATTATGGATGCAGGTTTTATAACATCTTTCAGGATAATCTTTCACATCCGTTCAGTTTTAATAGTTATTAATGAAATTAAAGTTTTCCTATTCTCGATCCTGCGGACCGAATGGTAAACAGTCGACTTCGCCTGACATTTCGGATCCTCCCGATCCACTAATGGTGTTTTTAGGTACCCCAAGCACCGGTCATCTTTCTCGTCGAATCCGTCGGTTGCGGCGAGTAAATTAACACACAGACACAGCCCACTGAGTTTCTCGCCGGATCTTCTCAGTGGGTCGCGTTTCCGATCCGGTAGTAGATTTTGCGAAGCACTGCTCTTGCTAGGGTTAGTGTTAGCAACGACGTTAGGTTTGAGCCCCGTGAGCTCATCTACTAGTTCGCTGAATCTAGACTAACCGCTCGAGGTTATTAGAATAGGCAGAAAATACAAAAAAAAAAACAAATAAAAATTCAATTACATAGATAGCACTTATGGCCATTTATATCTATATAACCTACGTATTGTTGGTTACGCAAAATATTTAATCAAAATATAAATCTTAATTTAAATTAAAGAAAATTTAAGCGACGGGTATAACCACAAATATAAAGAATTTGCAGTTGAAATATAGAATAACTACAATAAACTTCTATTCCAGTGTGGAACAATAAAATTTGATGATGAATTGTTCGTTCTCCATTGTGTCGATATTTCTGTGGTCTATTTGAATTGAATTGAACTGTATTGAATTCAAACGATTGACTTAGTTTTCAAATTAACATACAAACTGAGCAAGCATCAATTTAAACTAATACAATTAGAGCCTACATATGAAGGTGTATTATGTTTTACCAAAATTTTAAGCTTTTGTCATTCTACTTGATTTCTGGATGGACGAGCTCACAGCCCATTTGATGTTAAGTGGTTACTGGAGCCCATAGACATCTAATCAACGCAAATGCGCCACCCACCTCGAGATATAAGTTCTAAGGTCTCAGTATAGTTACAACGGCTACCCCACCCTTCGAACCGAAACTTACGGCGGAAATAGGCGGGGTGGTGGTACCTACCCGTGCGGACTCCCAAGAGGTCCTACCACCAGCGACTATTATAATTTTGCGGATTTGATTTTTATTAAACGATGTTATTCCTTCACCGTGGAAGTAAATCGTGAACATTTGTTGAGTACGTATTTCATTAGAAAAATTGGTACCCGCCTGCGGGATTCGAACACCGGTGCATCGCTACATACGAATGCACCGGACGTTTTAACCTTTAGGCCATGACGGCTTCATTGACTAGATAATACTAAATCTATTTTAGGTATATGACAATATTATGCATACACAGCTACAGGCGTTTATAACGCAAATATAGTTCTTTTTACTATATAGTGCCTCCGTTATTTTCGAGAATTTAAAATCTCATTAATTCATCAAGATCTGGGGATGTACCCGAAATTATTTGGTCTATCCAGGTCAGGAGAACTCAGACAAGTATTACTAGTATTGCCCCATTGTTTTTACGAGGTAGATATCACTTCACTTTATTATAGGTACTATCTAACTCTTTCCTTCAGTCCTATTTAGGGTAATCTTCCACGTTGTAATACCGCAAATGTCGAATGAAGTCGTCCTGGCCTAAAAGAATAATATGTTCGGTGTATTTGGATCGAGCGATTCAACTCTATCGGGGTTCGAATTCCGCAGGCAGGTACCAATTATTCTAATGAAATACGTACTTATGAAATGTTCATGAATGACTACCACGATGAAGAAATAACATCGAGTAATAATAATCAAACTCACAAAAAATATAATTTGGACAATAATTGATGGTAGAGCTACTCATGAGCACGTATGGGTAGTTAGTTACTAACCCTCTGACTATTTCTGCGGTGAATCTGTAATGCGGTTCGATTTGAAGAGTTAGGTAGCCGTTGGACCATAAAACTGAGGCTTAGAACTCATGTTTCAAAGTGGCGGTATTTATTTTATGGATGTCTGTGAGCTCCGGTAATCTTTTAACACCGGGTAGGCCGTGAGCCGAATCAGTCAATTCTACAGGAACTCGGCATCAAGCAGCGTCTATGATTGTTCAGAGTCGCATTCTCACTTTCTTCGGGCATGTGTCGCGACGGGGTGGCCACACAGTTGAGCGCCTTGTGGTGCAGGGTACGATAGATACGATAGAGGGTACAAGACCGTGAGGCAGATCACCGTTACGATGGACCGACCAAATAAAGGCAGCTCTAAACAGGCCCGTCAACCAGCGCACAAGAAGGGCCACGGTACGTAAGGAATGGCGACCACTACCCGAAATGATAACCACGACCACTCTACCAAGAGTGCAAACGACTGAGAAGAAGGTTGTGAGCTCATCCACCTATCTAAACCATACAAAGAGATAAAAAGATGGGTGCGGCTAATAGTGTCGTTTGTGTTACATTGTTGCAACAGTACGTGTTTTTTTTCTTTTTTATGCTTATACCTTTGAGAGGCTATTTCAGCTTCACCCTAACGTGTAGGTGAGCTCACGGGGCTCAAACCGGAGTGTTGCTAACATTGGCCCTAGCAAGAACAGTGCTTCGCAGAATGTACCTACCACCAGATCGGAAACGCGACCCACTGAAAAGATCCAGCGAGAAACTCAGTGGGCTGTGTCTATGGGTTAGTTCACTCTTCATCGTAATCGACGAGTTCGACGAGGACGGTGATCGGTGTTTGAGAGATCTAAAACGTGCAGTATATATGAGGTCTATGGGCGCTGGTAACCGCAATCAAACAATGAGGTTGTCAGCCAGAGTTAGGTAAAGAAACTGGTAAAGTATTTTAGTAGAGCTTTGTGCTATCTGACAATAAATTAATTTTGTCATTTTAAGTTGTCACGAAGAAGATACTTATTAGCGGTTGAACTTCGAATGAAACAGTTTTTGTCACGTCCACTGAGCACATAACAAAAGATCGTTAAATTCAGATCTTGAACGTGAAGTTCGGTTTTATTCGTTGCGGCTACGGTCCGTAGCATTTTGGTCAAGGCTACTGCACAAGCCCGCAGTGTCCTTCAAACGCATGTTTTACGGGTGCGGACTTATAAGATAGGCCTGAAACTTTGCCTGACCAACCACATAAGCGTCGACAGCATTATGCTAGTGAACGACCACTGTAATTTGAGCTTGAGTATGAATGGTATCTTATTCAGTTTTCGCGAGTCGTAGACAGATTAACATTATTTTTATGGTTTATATCATTATAGTTTTATTGTCATAGACGATACAGGCGCTTTCTTTAACTACCAAAACTATAATGAATCATTCAAAACGTCGAAAAAAATATAAAGACAATAAAAACGCGAAATTAAACCATAAAAGTAATTTTAATTTGGTCATATTCAAGTATTAGAATATTTATAGTAAATTAATGTTAATACACTATATATATTAATAATAAAAGAAAAAAAGTGTAAATTTTCGATTCAGCGTTGTTCAACACAATGTTTGTAACATTCTCCAAGAAACATATGGACGAGAATTCTACTTCCTGCAAAACCCATAGAAGAAAATGGGTCACCCATTCTTACTTTGATATTAATAACTAATTGATAAATGAGACCACTATGAAAATAAATGATTGTGAATTTCGTGGCCGAAAAATTAATGAAACCATACTTTCGTAAGACATTTCATAATTCACCACCTCACCACCGACCCACTTAGTGACTCCCCTGTGTTTTCGCCCGTAATTTCGATCTCCATCCGAGACACAACGCAACTCCGAGGTTTAGGAGGCTACCACAGTCAACAATAAGGAGACTATGCCGGACGCGTCATCAATGCGACTTCTTCTGTGAAATGTAGATTCGCAGAAGTTGAGCATCGCCTTCTAGGACCCATCGCTGCTGAACAGCTAAGTCACGAAGTTCAGCGGTGATAAATTTGGTTCAATCTACATGAGATGGAGACGACGCTGTCCCTCCCAGACGGAGTACGCTTTACTAAAAAGTAATTTCATTTCATTTCATCAAACATCGAAGGTATTTTCTTATGTAGCATTATTTACGTCATTTCATTTTTATACAACAAACATTTCATTGGTTTATATTTCATTTAACCGACGACGACATTACCTTAAGATTTGGCTTTATAAGCTATATTCCCGTTGCATGTCCACAAAACGGATCAAACGAGAAAATTATGGTACTATTTGTTGTTTATTTTAAAAAGTATTATTACCGTACATATGTACCGTAGTTAGTAATATGTTTAATATTCAAAAGTCCCCTTAATAATATTTATTTGAATGAGACATAGAGATTTAAGAATTAAATCAACTGTCAATATTTTTATTTGATTAAAATAAATAATTTTTACATTATTTCTGAAGAGGTTAAGACTTAATATATTTATGGTTTTAAATCATAAAGTTTAATCATTTTTAATTTCACCTATAAAGTGAAATGGGTTGTATTTTACAGAGAGCATTTGAAGAAAATAATGTCCAGGCTACGATTTGGCAGATCGAACGACGGATATCGTCTCGTATCCAATGATGATAGTGGTTTCTCTGACGCTCAGTTTGAAGCACCACCACCGAAGATTCCATGGAAAGCCATAACATTAGCTGCATTTCTGTTTTTGGTCGGGACANATTTCACCTGTAAAGTGAAATGGGTTGTATTTTACAGAGAGCATTTGAAGAAAATAATGTCCAGGCTACGATTTGGCAGATCGAACGACGGATATCGTCTCGTATCCAATGATGATAGTGGTTTCTCTGACGCTCAGTTTGAAGCACCACCACCGAAGATTCCATGGAAAGCCATAACATTAGCTGCATTTCTGTTTTTGGTCGGGACAATCCTTCTTATAGTTGGAAGCTTGATAGTGACTGGTCACATTGACACAAAATATTCAGATAGGTTGTGGCCTATGATCATTTTAGGAGGCATAATGTTTCTTCCTGGAGCTTATCACATAAGGATAGCGTACTGCGCATATAAGCAGTATCCAGGATATAGTTTTACAGACATTCCAGAATTTGATTAGCACTAGTATCTCACTGTATTTGAGATTCAAATAAGTAACATGCAACACAAATCATCTTCCTGAATAATGTAGTTAATTTCAATTGTATATATCCTTATCACTTTTTAGTGATTACTTATTATTTGTTGCTAGTTCTTTTAATTAATTCCACAAAATTTTGCTTTATAACTATAATTTTAAATTATAGTAGTAAGATTATTTAGTTACATTTATTTTTGGGCAAATTTAAATTAAATTTAATTCTCATGATGAAGTCTGTTTTAAACAGAATGCACAGTGTGACTGAGCAGAAACTGTCAAGAAAACAGTTAAATTAATATTTTTCAAATCTCATATAAAAGGTAAGAGGCATGATTTAGAATATTGTTAATGTTATTGGCAACAGTGAGTAACAAACCAAGACTGTGGTCTTGTTACAATAACTAGCAAAGGGGTTGAGCAATACATTGAAGAAATATTAGGGTTGTCACATGAATGTGGAACAGGCCTTTCTAATCAATTCTAATTAAGGCCAGACTAATTATCAGACGATCATTATGGCTAGACATTTGATTTTGAGGTTGCAGTCACAGAAAAAATCCTAATGAGCGATTAAATTGACAAGACTGCTTAATGCTTACCCTTACACTCACTTATCATTCTGCTGATCCCACAGAATGATTCCAACACTACACCAAGCTAATAATGGCAAATAAAACCGTTTTGCTTGGAATACTTGTTAGCATTATTCTCTGATGAACCCCAGTCCGACTGACATACAGACTATTGTAAAATATAAGCTTAGTGAGCTGGATGTGAGGGCATTATTATCAATTTCTCTAAGTGTGGATATTATGAAATTATGCATTTTTGTCTGTTCTGGCATTACTGTGTAGACAATATATAAATAGTTTAACTCTGAGCCGATATGGTTGCACATGGATATTAGGAATCTCATGCCACTGTTAACCATTGAATGTGCATAGCTTCATTTAATGTATGAATACCTAATACTATCAAATTATAGACATTTAAGATGCATGCTATTTATTAAATGTTCATGTTAATTTAATAATTATTTCACGATTAACCACCAAAACCAGAAGTATTTGTTTGCCATTTTTTTATTTTTGAACTATAAAATCCTTTCTATAAAATAACATGAATTTCTTAACTACTCATAATGTTTTTGTGGATAGAAGACTTCAACTTTGTGGGTTGTCAAGTGGGAGATGTCATTCACTTGTGTGATGACTGGGCTCTGTTAACTACATAACACTACGTGACTAGTGAGTTTGCTAATCCATCAATAAAAAATAAATCTGAAATGGAGTGTCAGATAATGAATAGTGGCTCTCCACTCTCTCTCACTCTCTTGGTGGGTATTAAAATGTATATGTATTATATATAAATAAATTGAAACCTGTTTAATAGAAATTTATATTTGTTTATTTATCCTCCACGAATTCCCTATACCATCCATGCGATTCGCGATGAAACTTTTTACAGGTGACGTTTGCACTCTAAGATTTTTTTGTCGTAGTGCCATCGCCTGATAGGTGGTGCGTGAGTAGCTTCGAGAAATTGATGTTTTCTATAAACTTATTAGTTAAAGCACATTGTTTTCAGAATGGATTTTTCGTCTATCATAATGCTGGCCACTCACATGCGCGCAAATATTCGTACATTGGACGAATGTTTGCGCGCATGTGAAGGGCCGTCAAACATTCATTCGCAAACTTAGCGGCTGTGCAAATGGGTTCGGTACTCAATTTGCGAACCCGTTTGCGCTTCCTCCTACACTTGTTTACGAATGTCTCACGAATTTCTCCTTCTTTTTAATTCGTCAATAGAACATTGAAGAGAAAAAGAGTTTTGAATTCTTTCCCAGACTTAATTAACAGCCATGCTGTTTTTATGGGATTTCTTTTGATGAAGATACACTACACAGTAGACGTCACGATCTATGAAAATAGCGAAGCGTCCGTTGCCTTCGCAATCCTCGGTGCAACTGGTCACACGAATGTGTGGGAGACTACGCGAAGGATCGCGGTTCGCGCGCTTTGATGTCTGTTAAAAAACCGACACAGCTTGGAAAACCACGAATGCAGCGAAAACTTTGCATAATCATTTGCAAATGTCGTCCTACACTTGCGGGTTTGCGTATTCGTGCGAATATGAGTGACCGGTATAATGCTAATGGAAACGTTGCCATGGTAACCGTTGCTGTAAGACTCGACATGAACCAGTGACTAGGTAGGTAGGTACCGTACCTACAAATTATCGCAGTGGTTGCTGATGCCCATAGACAACAACGTGAATGCCAGCCCGCAACTTGAGCCACAAGGTTTAAATTTTAATTACGTACCTATATTGTTATCTTTACGACCCATTTAACCAAAAAATAGGCAGGGCGATAGTAATTACTCATGTACGGCGTACAAGACTTACTCAAAATGTAAATTACGAAGCTTAAAATTTGTGCTATATCTAATTCGAAATACAATACATACATATTGAGAAATAAAGGAACACATGATTTAAACATAATTTTAATGATATTCATCATAGTTTCAATAAATAGGTTGAGTCATTTTACAATAATAGATTTTTTGAAAATCATATTGATTCTCAGCAGCAAATTAAACACTTTAATCCTATCTAAGTTATTGGATGTTTATCTATTAGCTCTCTTGCCTTTCTTAGATTGTGTGAAGCTAGTATGGGGTAGAGGCACAGAGTGGCCTGTAATTTTCAAATGCTCGAACAATTTATTTTTTGATGGAAAATCGGAATCACAAACTACACAACTTAAACGTGTTGTACTGGAATCTTCGGTTTCGCTGGCTTTCATACGCGCCGGTTTCCTATCAATAGGTTTTTTCGTTTTCACCGTCCTCTGTGTCTTAGGTAAAGCTGGCTTATCTCTGGGCAGTGCAGATTCACCTAAAGCATCATCTGTAGGTGTTGTGCTGGAAACCTCATAGAGATTCTCAGTAGATGTCTGTGACTGATTTCCCTTCTTAAGATTAGCTTCTTTTTTAGCTTGAATTTGGCTCTTGAGCATATTGAACTTCTTTGCTTTCCTACAGCGTGATGGGCCTTCAATTTCATTAAAACTCATTTCATCATGACTGTCATTGCCCTCGCTTTCTGGCATAGGATTGAAAGACTTCTTTTTGTTTTTTTTCTTTTTTAAACATTTGGGAAGAGGCTGCAAATAAAAAAACAAAAATTGGATTGGTATACAAATTTAGTGCTAGACTGAAATTATTTAAATATTCTCTTACCTTAACTTTACCAGAGTCATCACTTAAAGTCTCCCTAATATCATTATCTTCAATATCTGAAGTGGAATTACCGAGTGGTTCCTTTTCATCTTCAGTTAGTCCGTTTATTTTAACTGGCTCCCTTGGCCCCTCTTGAGTAGCTGGAGTCTGTTCTACATCCTCGTTTTCTTCATCATCAACATCTGATATCCCTATGTCATCATCAAGTGTCATTTTAGCAACATTTTCTTTATGTTTCTTGCTATTTTCATGGTTTTCGAATGATTTTACATTCTTAAATAATTTGTTACAAGCTGAGCAGTAAAGATTTTTCATTGAAGATTTTGATTTTGTTGGTGATTTTGCTGTTGCCTTTGAAGCTTCACTAACCTGGAAACATTTAAAGTAATTTGATTTGAGTATCATCAAAAATAGTATGCCCATTCTCTAAGAACCAAAGTTCTAGGAGTGATGATTTTAACCCTATACCTTAAATATATTATTGGATGCAGCTTGTGTAGATTTTACTGCACTTACTTCTTCAGTTTTAGAGCTTTCTTCATTGCTGCTTTCCATTCCACCCTCACTGATTGTGTCATCTGACGACAATCCAAACTCTTCAGCCAATAGAGATTCAATTTCACTAAGCTTTTTCTGATACTCATCACTTTGTAAAAATGAAGATTCCCCTTCCTTTTTCTTGGCTTCCTCAATTTCCTTTTGTCTTTGAATTATTCTTTCCCTTCTCATTTGTTCAGCCTGTAACCATTAAACTGTGATTGTATAAGTTAAATAGGATGTTTAACTTTTGTATACTGGTAAGATTAAGATTAGCACTCCTGACTGTTGGACCAAGAGTCATGGATTTTATTGCCAAATCAGATAAACATTAGTGTGATGAACAGGTTTTGTTGCTTTTTTTCTGGATGTTTAATATCTATAAATATATATGTTATTTAAGTATACAATATATCAGTATGGTTCATTGTGATTTTCTTCTGATTATTTCTTAAATTTTTAGCTGGATATTATTTTTTAACCTTTACCAATATGCTTGTACTCTTGTAAGTAATCAGTAACACAGCAAAGGAAGTTAACTGATAACAAATTAGTTTCAAGGACCTATGATAAGTCTGTCAATTCTTTACCTTTCTTTTATTTTCTTCAGCCTTCTCTTGTAACAATTTGGTATGTTCAATAACTCTCTTATCCTTCCTACGGACAAAGCAGGCAAGTCTCCTGATCTCCTCATTGCGTTCTCTACGAGCCTTTTGTCGAATTTTATTGTTTTCCTTTTCCATTAACTTTATGACCCTACGATTGTCACCCTGTTTTATTTCATATTGGTCTAACCATACGTAACCTAAAATGTAAACAATACAACTTATTATAATTATTTTATTGTATGTATAGGCTTCAAATAATCTCATTATCGTAGGTGTTAGTCAGAGTCAGTATCTTTATTATAAAATAGAACAGCCCAGTAGTTTTACACCTGTTAAATTTACATTACAAAAACAATGAAACATGTAGCATTTTGCCGGGATAAAGAGTTGCTTGGGTAACTACCAGATGAATTAAAATATTTTGGTCTAAAATGTGGCACACAGACTTGTATTTATTTTGGCAGTAATACCCAGTACTGCTGGACCCAAAGTTTACCATGATATTGGGTATTCTTGATTTTAATTCATAAAATATCTTGGTGCAAAATATTATCCAAATCCATTCAGCTCTGGTTCTGGATTCATACAAAATTCAAACATAAACATTCACAATCATTATGTTTTTATTATTGTATTCAATAATTAATATGCTGAGTGAATTTTTCTTATCTGAAACATGTGTTTCTTGCACGTATAACAGTTCTCCACTGTTAATCCTTAAATCATAGCTTGGGGCCATTCTATTATTAGTGGTGTTAAATTTCTTAGTTGAAAAGTCATTCATATTTGTCACTAACCAGTATGCATAGCAATATGATGCATAATGGAATTAGAGCTTAAGTAAATTGCATTCTCTTCGGATGTGTCACAGAGGAATATGACATTACAATTATTTTTGAAAGATTATTGAATATAGAATAAATAATGTGTGGTTAATTTCAGTTAAAAATATATTATGCAAAAAGTAAATTTTAAACTTACTTTTATTTGTTGAGAATGCTGTCCAAAAAGAATAAAACTCATGTACTTGTTCATATTCTGTCATTGAATTACCAAACTTGGGTATTTTTATTACATCCTCGGGGTCATCAAGGAAGTCAATTTCTTCTGTTGTTAATTTGGAGAAAACCTACCAAATATTTGTTCACATTGTTTAGATTCATTAAATGTATTAATATAAAATTAATTTAAGCTTATTAGAAACTCACATGTTATTTTTGAATTTAATTTCAACACAGTTTACCTTGTTTAAATAAACGTAGATTAGTTTGTTATATTTAGCTATTAATATCATTAATTTTTCAACCCTAGACCTATAGTTATTTTAAAAAAATGAAACCTATTCAAATTGTGAATAATTTTATATATAGATAGTGTAGTTGTTCTATTGATACCCACTCTACAATTTGTGGGATAACATTTATTTATATTAATTAATACTTAATTAAAACATTATTGACTTGAGTTTGAATTTAAAAAAAAACCTAAAAATGTTGAAAACCTAAATTTAAATAATATTTTGACAGTAGACAAGGAAAATTAACACAAAAACCTGTTGTTAATTTCAAGTTCATAAACTGAAATTATCTGGAAGCAATTGTGATTTTATTCTTTTTCAAGATTGGGTAAGGAGTTATGGGGGGTGTAGATTAAAGGTTTTTTTTGTCAATGTTACTTACTTCAGCATATACTCCATAAAATCCTTGAGGGTCATCTCCAAAGCCTTTGTAGCAGGAAGGACTGAAGTAAGGATATACATCCAAAGAGTCATCATTGTATGAACTGCCTGCCCCACGTAACAATTGTTCCCTATGGTTGTCATACCTGTAAAATAATTGTTTTCGATATTTATTTACTGAAAAGCTTAAAACTTTAATTGTGCAGAGTGGGATCTATATTACAATAGACATGTTTAAAAAACAATGTTCTATTCGAGTAAATACGTTTTTTAGTCATTACCAAGCTCGTTCCTGAGGATCGGAGAGGACTTCGTATGCGTTTTGTACCAACTGAAATTGTTCTTTTGCTTCTTGTAAATTTTCTAAATTTTTATCTGGATGCCACTGCAGAGCCAGGCGGCGATAGGCTTTTTTTATCTCCGATGCGCTGGCTTCTTTAACTATGTTCAATATTTCGTAATGACACTTCATTTTAATTTCATTCTAGTACATCCAATTTTCAAGAAACTTTCAATTTGATGAAATTTTCTATGCCGATATTTTTCTATTTTATCCGTCAATATAGACGTTGCGCTGTAATTTACAGCAGACTTATAAAGAGGACCAGTACGAATTACGACAACAGCCACCTTTTATATATACAATCAACACATAGTATTTAATATCGATCTATTTTGAAGATTTTTAAAGAAAATTAAATGACGTCCATGCTTCTTTGCAAATTTACTTTTTTAACATTAAATGAAGCGTGTTGCCAGCTTGGAACTGCATAGATTATTACAATGCTTGGCTGTCAGTCATGTCGCTTGTCAGCTAATAATTAAGACTCGAGACCAGTAACTACAACTTTACCGCAATTACGGTAGACACCGTAATTTTGCTCGATTTTGCTCGATTTACTACTTATCGTACCATATGTGAAACGGTATCAAAAACTACAGTTATTTTCGATTTTGTAATTTTACCAATGAACCAAAAACCAATTTTATAAATTGACATTAATACTTTGTTTGTCATTATTGTTTTTTAGATAAGGTAACATTGATATTAATATGACAACACTATTAATAGGCGAATCCCCGCACTCATTTCACGGTTCATCCGTTCATAAACTGACCAAGTAGATAGTACCTTTAAGTAATGTAATGAAATGTACTATTATTCATTTTGCCAACATAATAAGATAAATTCATTTATTTTAATGTTGTTCTGTTAGTTTTCAATGTAACGATTACCAGGTAAAGTTTCGTATCATTATATTAATATAATAAAAAAAATCATTTTTATCAGTTCATTAACATTTCATCGTATTTTCTTGTGCGTTGTAAAATTGCTGGTATAGACAGTAACAGGGATGGTGATGGCCGACCTAATCCACAAAAATTAAATACTCATGTAGAAGAAAAACAAAAAATAAATATAAAAAATAGAAATTTCGATCTGAATGGTTAATTAACAAGGACTTTTTATCTTGGTTAAGTGAGCACCCGACTTTTCCACTTCAAGTTACATGCACCTTACGAGGGCGGCACTGAAAGTTTCGGGAATTAACGAAGTGACACAACATTACTATTTAAAAATGTATTTATTGCTTTTCGAAGTATTCTCCGCGAAATTTGACACATTTTTCCATACGATGGAACCAATCATTGAAGCAACCATTCCATTCGGAAGTTGGGGTCTCCAAAATGGCCGTTTTGTAGGCGTCCACAGCTTCTTCAGGTGATGAAAATCTCTGTCCACGCAATTTATTCTTTATTTTAGGGAAAGTATAGAAATCATTAGGGCTTAGGTCGGGGCTGTACGGCGGATGGTCTAATAATTCTATGTTTTCTTGCTCTAAAAACTCTTTTGTTCTGTGCGCGGTGTGAGAACTCGCATTGTCGTGATGGAGGATGATGCGGCGGTTGCAGTTCTCTTTACGGAGTTCAGAAACGACCTGTGGCAAACAAATGCTAGCATACCATTCTGCATTAACCGTTCTTTGTCCCTCAAGAGGAATAGTCGTAACATGGCCGGTTTTGGAGACAAACGTGGCCACCATTTTTTTTGCAACACTCCGTGAACGAACAATTTTTGTTGGCTTTAACTCATTTTCGAACACCCAAACTCATGACTGGTTTTTTGTTTCGGGTTCGTACGCGTATATCCAGGATTCGTCACCTGATACAATGTTTTTAAAACCAAGGAGTTTTCAATTAAAAAGATTTTAATATGACAGGAACAGTGGAAATATTCCATTCCCGATACTTTTAGTGCAGCCTAGTATGTGCTGTTATTATGACAGCTGAGGTGAGTGTCTTCAAACGGAAATCAATAGTCGATAACCCATTCTCACAGACTGTTTGGAATCTCTGGGTTTGCGGAGGGACTTCAGTTTCCTCTGTATTTTGTACCGTATGTTCCATGGGGAGTGCTCTGAGGAATTGTTCGAGATGATACCATCATCTCGTTTTTATCATCGCACCGCCCGCCACCGGAGTAAAGTTCATCCATACTACCTGGAGCCTCTGCGGTCATCCACAGTGTGTTTCCAGAGGTCCTTTTTGCCACGTACCATCCGCTTAGGGAATGATCTCCCCTCCACGGTGTTTCCCGAGCGTTATGACATGTCCTTCTTCAAACGAGGCTTGTGGAGAGTATTAAGCAGTAGGCAGCGGCTTGGCTCTGCCCCTGGTATTGTTGAAGTCCATGGACGACGGTAACCACTCACCATCAGGTGGGCCGTATGCTCGTCTGCCTACAAAGGCAATAAAAAAAAGACATAATAAGAGTACAAATAGTAAATAAAATTATAGGGATCAGTCAACAGCCTTCAATTTCACAATTATTTGATGATAGTAAAATTCATTCGGCCGATAAACAATTTAAAAGAGCTGTGATAAAATTAATTATTACGGCATTTACGGCAGAACATAAAATCTCACACGCTGTTATGGTTCATTTGACCGATTTACTAGCCGACATTTTCCCAGACTCAAACATAGCAACAACATAGAAACAAGCTGGTAACCAAGGCACTGGATTGTTAGCCGAACAATGTATTAAAAGACACAGCAAAAATTGTTTTGATTTCACTCCAACCGATAAAATGATTAAAATGATAATCATTTCAATGTATAAAAGTGAGAAATAAATCTTTAATGGTTTTTATTTTACATCTGAATTTACCATATTATTATGTATTTATTCCGTATTTTGTTTATTATTGACACCGTAATCTACAGTATTTTTTACCTGGTAGTACCGAATTTTTGAATGAACGAGAATGCAGACACTGCTTGAGACAATGATTACTGTTCATAACTATAACAATAAGTACTCCGTAGGTATTCAGTACACTGACTAGGTCTACATTATTATCTGGAGCATTATATCAGGTACTTTCATTCTGATTTCATTTCATTATGAATCCTAGTGTCTGTATCAACCATCTAGGTATTCCTCCATTCACAGCCTAAATATGGCTTAGTCGAACAGTGAACACTTTACAATAATTAGCAATATCATAATTAATTTTGTAGTTTTGAAAAACGGAGACTCTGCAGGTTTTAGGCTCTATTTATAGTATCATCACTTTTAACTTGAAGAACAGTAATATTCGCATTGTGATATTTGCATTTGTAGAATATATCGTAAGTTGGATCGGTTATAAACTCGTTTGGTTATATGTAATGATAAAAGATTAGACAATGTAATAAAATATGTGGCAGCTCCAAATATGATTGAAATTTGTTTCAAGAAATTGTGCCGAATAGGAACTTAAGTTATACATACATACCTCTTACCTTTTTTACCTAGTCTTACCTTTCTGGTCGTATTCCGTAAAAAAAAGAAGTATAATACATATTAATTTATCTTTATAATTAAGCGAGTGTGGTTTGCGCTCACGTGGCTCGCACACACATAGACACCCTCCAATCCCTACAATCCCGCTTTTGCAGGTTAGCCGTTGGGGCGCCGTGGTTCGTGAGGAACGTCGACCTACACGACGACCTGGGCCTCGAATCGATCCGCAAACACATGAAGTCAGTGTCGGAACGTTACTTCGATAAGGCTATGCGTCATGATAATCGCCTTATCGTTACCGCCGCTGACTACCCCCGAATCCTGATCACGCAGGAGCAAGGCATCGTCGTTGCCCTAGACACGTCCTTACGGATCCACCAGATCGAAGAACTCTTTCATTAGATACCTTCAGCTCTAACACTAGGAGCAGGCTTAGGGATCCCCGTAACCGTACTCGTCGAACTCGGCAAAGAGTTCGACGTGCAATCTAACCCGTGCATCAGCCCGCTGAGTTTCTCGCCGGATCTTCTTAGCGGGTCGTGATTCTGATTCGTAGTAGACTCATTCGCGAGTAGACTCATTCGCGAAGCAGCTACTCTTGAGTTTAAATATTTTTTTTATAAATCCTTGACAGTGAAATAAACAATTTTTACGAGTATTTTTAAATTTATTATTTAATCGACTGTTTTTAGGCCAGTAAAAAAAGAGATGTTAAACGTTGCTAATAGCGTTTCAAATAGTAAGCATATAATATCTCAAAATGTAAAATAATATGTAAAGCAAATTAATAAATTAAATCAGTCATCACTGTCATTCTCTATGTTCTTATACTGCATTTTGAATTTAATGAACGATTTGTGATTCCACCTGTCTGTAAAAGTCGGTGAGTCTCTTACAAAGGACTGTGAGTCATGTTCGTCGGCTGCCTCGCTCTGTAAAGTAAAAGGTTTATGAATTTATGTTAAATAAATATTTTGTAAATATTCATTATCTTGTCCTCCTGATCCACTCTCGGTGCTTTTAGGCTGCTCTCCAAGCAAGCGTTCTTGTTGAACTAGATTTCGACAGTCGAAGAGTGTCCCGAGGTGGTTTATTTTTATGTTTGATAGATTACTGGTGGCCCGGAGGCCTTTCCAGTTTTACCAGAACCGGTGGGCGAGTCCCGACGTGCAACCTAACCTATACCAACTGAGTTTCTCAGCGAATCTTCTCGGTAGGTCGCGATTCCAATTCGGTGATAGATTTTTTTTTTTTATTGCTTACGTGGGTGGACGAGTTCATGGCCCACCTCACGTTAAGTGGACATCGGAGCCCATAGACATCTACGACGTAAATGCCGCCACCTACCTTGAGACATGAGTTCTAAGGTCTCAGTTTTTACAGTACAACGGCTGCTCCACCCTTCAAGCCGAAACGCATTACTGCTTCACGGCAGAAATAGGCAGGCTGGTGGTACCCACCCCTGCGAACTCACAAGACGTCCTACCACCAGTAATTACGCAAATTATAATTTTGCGGGTTTGATTTTTATTACACGATGTTATTCCTTCACCGTGGACGTTAATCGTAAACATTTGTGAAGATTCACAGAATCGTAAATATTTCATTAGAAAAATTGGTACTTGTCAGCGGGATTCGAACACCGGTGCATCGCAAGATACGAATGCACCGGCCGTCTTATCCTTTAGGCCACGACGACTTCACATTATAATAAAATGTGTAATAAAATTAAAATCCTGCATCGAAAATAACATCCTGCACCTCACATCATTGTGTTCGTTCGACGCAATTATGTTCCTTAACAGAAATAGTCCTAAATCATGATATTATTATTCTGCGGTTCAAACTTACTTTAGCAATTTTGTCATAATAAAACTTTTGAGTAATAGAAGTAGGTCGTGAACCGAAACCATGGGGTGGCACATCTAGTTCCATTTGAGGCTTGGACCATTTCTCGTATAGTTCCGGTCTGGGCCCAAATGAGGTTTCCGGAGACGTACGACAATTAGCTTCTATCCATTTTTGCTCGTGAAGTGACGGCGACCTAATGGAGAAATTTTAGGTATAGATACTTAAGATAAAATACAGTATGTGCTAAAAGCAATTAATAAACTTTTTAATTATTTTTCCTAAACGATTTTAAACAGAATTATTTCGTGTGTCAATTCTGTCTTATTTTTTAAGCTTGACCTTTAATATCTCCGCTTTGATCGAAGGTAGAAAGACCTACGATTATTTTACTAAATATTGAGGGTCAGTGTATCTGGTAATTGGATCGGTGTTGCCAAAATGACAGAAGTAGTGATTAGGCATTTTGAAACAAACCACTCTATTTTCATTTAACTAGGATTTACCAAACTCTTTTTGTTCCTGAGCAAATTCACGAGTCAGTATGAGTTTATTGGGGATTTTGTAACCGAATTCAAAAAAGAAAGATGTTATAAATTCGACAGTAATTTTTAGATTATTTTCTAAACGAACTGTATTGTATTTTATCAAAATTTAACTATGTGTTGAAATTCTCATTGTGTAATGTTGAAATCGGCTTAAAAAAAATTTTCCAATTTTTATATTATGTTTGATTGTATCATCATCATGTATATATGATTTTAGCCACTTTAATTATTCAGGTCATTTCGACTTATTATTCTTTATTGTTATTTATGTATCGTTCAAAGAAAGGAAGTTATCAAGGAAGGATTTAAAATGACCCTTCCATGTTCAACCGCAACAAACATTGAGATAAATTGGATGTAATTTCTCGTAATACACGAGCAGCGTATGTGGTATGTTTGTACTATGCCGAAGCTATCTTGTGTTATTATCCACCCCATTGTCTAGTTCCCAGCGAAGGGATACGTAATGGGACGAGGTTTAACCCATTACATACGGAGCTCCCAATTTGTGGTTATATCATGTAATTTTTTTTGGTAGGTATATTATTCGTAACCTAAAATCTTTGTAATTTTTCTTTTTCTATTCATACATAAATATGAAGCGGCTAAAATAGTGTCATTATAATAATAAATACAAATACTAAATTGAGGAAATTATTTTAACAAAAAAAAAAGAAGTTTTTTCCTTGCATCTCAAACTTTACTATTTTTTAAATGAAACAATGTGCACAATCAGTTAGTTACTTGCGCACAAAATTTCTCTTCACTGAAAAAAAAAAATTTTTTTTTCGCTGATTTTTCGACCCACGGAGTTAGACAGGGTATCTAATAAAATTGTAGCTCAATCAATTCCCGTCGCGTTTCTTCACTTTACATGTACTTTGTTTTACATATCTATTGTGTGATTTAGAGAGAAACGTCTTTGTTCCTAAAGTAAAGTACTTGAGTATAGTTATTTTCTTCGGTTTTCGCCAGACGTATCTAAACATAATTAAAACTATTCCGACGGTTCGAACGCTTTAAAATTTTCGGGGTCGCGGAAGACTGATCCTCCTTCGGAATTAATAATTATAAAGAGAAAAACAAAAGGCGAAATTAAACCGTAAAAATAGTTCTGATTCATCATACTTGAGTATATCTTGATTTTAAAATCTTAGGTTTCATATTCAAGTAATTTCAAAACAATTCAAGACAATCAATTTTCATTCAGTAGAAAGACAATAACGCAATGAAAAGATAGAGAAAAAGTTGTCTACTAATAACCCCCGAGGGTATTTCCGACAGCCTGAGATTTTTAATTAGCGAACAGATGAAAGTGTCTGTAATTGGAATTCTAATTGACTTGTTAATAGCTCACCGGCCTATAAAATGAAAGGATTATAAAGAACATAACTAGAATTATTGTTATCCTTCAGTGATTCCTCTCAAGATTACTGTTCCGAGTTTTGAGACCCCATAGTGTGAAGGGTGAGATGCTGTGTGTAATCGCAGCGACTGAGGCGATTAAGCATCAATTTGAGTGCTCATAGTAATGCTGATTTACGCTCTATATAAGTTCTACGATGAAGAACTATTAGCATCACGCAACGATGATTGATAATTTTGCGTAATTAATCTTGGAAGGCGCTTGTGAACCTAAGTAGTTATCACAATTCTGCCAATTTTGGCCGCGAAACTATCGTATGTTTCCGTTTTAAGATTTAGACAGCAATTATATAAACTGATTATGGCTTCGATCTCAAGATCGCAAGTTTCGAAAGTCTTCATTATACGTTTTTATGTCTATGGCATCTAATGTCTATGGCAGGAGTCGGCAACCTGTTTGTCCTTAAGGGCGCAATACAAAATTTGAAAATCACCGAGGGCGCATAGTTTACAGATAATCAACAGGTATCAATAGGTTTTAAAAAAAACAGATTTTGTATAACTTTATTTTGTTGGTGTCATACATAATGATACAATATATAATTCAGTGTGAAACTTGGGTGTCCATATCTTCAGCTAATTTCTTATAGTAGGGGATATATTTAGAGTTCCCGGTCCTTAAACAATTATCTAAATGTGAGTCATTAAGCTTTGTTCGGTATTGAAAGAAAAGAATGATTTCGGATTACTTGTATTAGATACGCTCAAGGTTAGCAAACTGCTAATCTATGCAGAATACTAAACTCAACTGATTACTTGCTGTATATCGCCGTTTGACAAGAGTAAGTAAATCGTTTTACATTAGTCCAGCGAGGGCGCATTAAAAATCGATCGGGAGCGCCATGGCGCCCGCGGGCGCCGCGTTGCTGACCCCTGGTCTATCGTATGGTATCTAAGGTACCCCGTAATCATATGTCCATTATGTTTTTTTATTTTTTTACTGGTGGTAGTGCGTCTTGTTAGCCCGCATGGATAGGTACAAAACCGAGACTTAGAACTCATTTCTCAAGGTGGGTGGCAGTATATACGTTGTTGATGCTTCGTTAAGCACTCAACACCAGGTGCGCTGTGAGAACGTCCACCCATTTAAGCAAAAGAAAAGTTGGTCATTTACTGTGATTTTTACACGTCCATACATAGTTAGTATTAATTACGATAATACCTAAACAGTCTATTAGACAAATTATTGTTAAAAAAATAGATAGAGAAACTTTTTTAGATCAATATTTCTTTAAGAACGGCCTTTTCGACTGTCGTCTTTGTTGTTAACAGGCGTAACCAATAACGACTTCAGTCAGTTTTTGGAAATGGCTACGATACGCGAATTAGGACCGTTTTGTTGTCACGGATAGACTGTTTTTGAAGATAAACCGGGATTCGTGAGAAGTTGACGGTCTCCACATTAAGATGTATTGGCTGATACCTTTATTCCTCAGAACCAAGGAGAGCAATCGCATTTAATGTTCCCGCTACTACAATTAGATGGGCAGCTGCTAATACGAGCGTTCTTAAAAAAGCTAATATGCTTTTTATTCGAATAGAATTATTGAGTATATCGTGAAAAATAACATGTTTTTTTTTTTAATTTGAATTAATTAAATTTTAATTTAACGCGTCAATTCAATTTGGAAGAAGTATCTAAACAGAATCATTGTGTTAAAATTAAAGAACTTTTCGTAACAGTACGCAACCGACAATAGATGGCAGCACATCTTTTGTTCAGATAATATAATATTTTATATATCGCATCAATTTAAATAAAAACGAGTAAAAGAATTTATTCAAATGCTTTCAGTAGTATATTAGAGATGCGTTTATTTATCCCCTCTTCCTATAGTATATTGAATGATCCTTGCTCTTAAAGTCCATAAGGCGCATTGAAGTTGAAACACACTTCTTTCTTCAAATCGTGAAGTTGTAAGGTTTTATACAGTATGCTCCAATTGTTTTTTTTTATTGTTTAGTAGGTTGGACGGGCTCACAGCCCACCTGGTGTTAAGTGGTTACTGGAGCCCATAGACATCCACAACGTAAATGCGCCACCCACCTTGAGATATAAGTTCTAAGGTCTCAAGTACAGTTACAATGGCTGCCCCACCCTTCAAAGCGAAACGCATTACTGCTTCACGGCAGAAATAGGCAGGGTGATGGTACCCACCCGCGCGGACTCACAAGTGGTCCTACCACCAGTAATTACGCAAATTATAATTTTGCGGGTTTCATTTTTAAAACACGATGTTATTCCTTCACCGTGGAGGTCAATCGTGAACATTTGTTGAGTACGTATTACATTAGAAAAATTGGTACCCGCCTGGGATTCGAACACCAGTGCATCGCTCAACACGAATGCGCCGGACGTCTTATCCGTTAGGCCACGACGACTTGTATATACATATATACGAAATGTAATATTCTAGAATGAATGAAATCTACCAATAAACTTTGTATATACAATTACCGGATTATAGCGGACAAATCGTCGGCATTGTATACGATTTTCGTCTTAGGATCATAGAATCCATCGCCCGTATCGTAGTACCCGGGCGGTACGTCGCGTGTTGGCTGGTCAGCTGTCAGGTACGAACTGCCGGCGGGCTGAAGACCGTTGTCATACTCTATCGTGAGCCTGGATTCGAAATTTAACGTATAATTCTAATAATGTAGGTATTCTTTTCACAAAAATAAATAAAAAAGGTGCGTGCTAAAGTGTTTTTTATTGAATTTGAAGCTTACAATTTCTTATTATTCCAGTTAAAAATATGTATTTCCATCATAAATTTCATTAATTTCTTGCTTATAAGGAAATAGAAGTCGAACTCTATGATACTAGTTTTTAATTTTCTCCCGCCAATGGTAGACGCATACAGTGCACGTGATAAATCTTTGGACTTATGACGATACACGAACGTCGTTATTGATGGGGAAAACCAATGCCAATTGGAAGTGAACCGTTTGAGAAACAGGTTAGAAGAAGTTATTATGGTATTCGCAAAGGCGAACAATTTATTCCAAAGCCTAATGGTATGCAAAAACGATCTCCTGAAATGCACTGTAGATGAATGAAACAGTCCAAGGTTCCAGGTCCAAACCTGCGGCACTGAAAAGGAGGTGATAATTCCAAAGAACTCCTAAGAGAACCCTGTGAATCGCGAAGAGACATAAGCATGTTGATAGACAGAAACCTCTTTACACGCAATGGGTGCGTGCTGTATTTCAGATTTGATATATAAACTCACGCTTTGGAGAACAATGCAGTTGGAACAGCGGCCTTAGCGGCAAATGTAGGCAAACGTTTCAACTCCATACAAATTTGAGTGAACTTTTACGCTATCGAAAACGTTAAAAGCTCGCACTAAGCACACAGATCTCTGTTCTCGTGTTACAACAGATCCACGACACAGTTGGACAAATTCATTATTAATCGAATGTTCTGGATATTTACAACGTAATTAATGTTGGTAACTCAAGCTCCTCGCACCAACGCGCACTCAACAAATTAAGTTTCGATCTCACACAATACGTTGTTATCAGTTAAACGTAATTTCAAATTTTGCACAACAAAAGGTGCCTTCGCATACGAACGCTCGCAAATACAATTTCTCGTTAAATTTTCGGAAAGCCTGCGCCGGTCATGTTTGAGAGTTTCGGAGCTTCGAAACAAGTTCCGTGAAATGGCCAACAGTACAACACGTATCTGCCTAGAATTAAACTGAAAACGATGTATGTATTCTGTAAACAACGCGAAGTTGTGTCATTAGTAGAAAATGTATTATACGTTCAGAAGTAGTGGTTTTATTTTTTCAACTGGAAAGGCAAAGGTGTCGTACCATACAGCCTAATCTTTTATATTTATTATTATTATAATATATATCTTTTATATTAAAAATGATAATATGAAGTGAAATGAAATGAAATGATATGAGATGATATGGGATAAAATATAATCTCAGTAAAATGGTGGTCATTTACTAAGACTTTTTCAGTAGACTTTTTGGAGGATCCCGAGAGAGGTCCAGCGACTTTTTTTTCATTTTTCACATTTGTGCACTTTTATAGATATTAAACAGTTAATAAACCACCGTTATTACATATTTAAACCTTAAGAAACACAAATAGACAAAATGAAACAAATCACATAACTTCGCTTCTCGCGTTCCCGCCAAAAAGTCCGTTCAATGGAGACATGACGTCACAATGTCAATCGTATTGTACGCTTCTTAACGATTCCCTAAAAAGGCAAACGGTCAATGGATTTATTTCAACAAAAAAACAATAGCAGTTTTTTTTTTTAAATATGATTTGAAGCCCAATTTCATTAATTTACAATGCTCATTATTAACAAGTAGAAGAGTGTTAGAGCATCAAACCTTCTGTCGGGCATACGGCAATATTTCCAATCGTTTTCACTGTACTCCAAGCCATCTGCAAAGATCAGTTTCCTCTCGTACATAAGTCCCTTCTTCCACTTCCCTCGTAATATCACTCCGCTCGGATACCTCAACTCGCCTTGGCCATGAAACATTCCGTCCTCGAATTCTCCAACGTATTTAACTTCTGTATATTTCAATATTATTTATTTAGAGCATACCAAAGAAATTAATGACATACAATGGCCAGCGGTAATGCACAGTTCGTATCCAAGCGAAACGTTCCAGACTGAGGTTTTTTTTTGCTGACTACGTATGCTGATAGACTTGGGAGGCTATTTCAGCTTCGCCCTAACATGTAGGTGAGCTCTCGGGGCTCAAACCGGAGTGGTGCTAGCACTGGCCCTAGTAAGAGCAGTGCTTCGCAGAATCTACCACCGGATCGGAAACGTGACCCACTGAGAAGATCCGGCGAGAAACCCAGTGGGCTGTGTCTGTAGGTTAAAACTGAGGAAGCTATTTATCGTAGTCCCAAGTCTAGGAACAATAAAATTGTATAATGTAATTTGCTTTGTTTCAACTGCAATCGAATGAGACAGAACACGGCACGAATGAAACTAAACAAGCTGAGATTAATTCAACTGCATTTATTAATAGGCATTGAGTGCTGTATTAGTTTGCAAAGTATAAATTTCGACAATTTTAGGTTATTTTTATATGTTTCTTTAAAGTACAAACGTGTGAAGAAAACGTTGAGCTAGTGTTCATTAGGCAAATACTATAAGATAAAGGATAAGACGTCCGGTGCATTTGTATCGAGCGATGCAACGGTGTTCGAATCACGATTGACTTCCGCGGTGAAGGAACAACATCGTGAAATAAAAATCAAACCCGCAAAATTTTAATTTTCATAATTACTGGTGGTAGGACCTCTTGTGAGTCGGTAAGGGTATGTACCACCACCCTGCCTATTTCAGCCGTGAAACAGTAATGCGTTTCGGTTTGAAGGCTGGGGCAGCCGTTGTACTGTAAAAACTGAGACTTTAGAACTCATGTCTCGAGAAGGATGGCGGCATTTACGCTGTAGATGTCTATGGACTCCGATTCCCACTTAACATTAGGTGGGCCGTGAGCTTGTCCAACTATCAAAGCTATAAAAAAACATTTTGAGTCACACCTAGCCGAACCGAAAGTGATCACCCGAATTTGCTAGTTAAATATGAGCCGTCATGTATTGTAAAATGTATGAAATCAATGTTACCATTAGGAAAAGTATATGTTCCGTAGCCACTCATTCCCAGTACGTCCCATGTACCGTCATATTGAGAGCCAGTAGGGAACCGCTTGAGTGAACGATAGGCACGTGGAATATCTTGTGACATCGCTCTGTTCGAAAAATCGTAAATAGGTAATAATTGATTCGTAAACTAATAAAATGACCAACTAAACTGACAGGGAAGAAAACAATTTCTTAAAACAAGGACCGTTATTGATAGCGACGTATTCTTTATAAGATAATTAATTTTAAGAAAAGCATGATAGTAAATACTTAAAAAAAATGTACGTCAGACATCTCGTATAGCCTAACATATTTGACAAATACAATGACAATGGAGACCACTTCGAATAAACTTTTTATATTTTAAATTGTTTTATATTTATGTATTAAACTAACACACTGTAAAAGTAATAAATGTTATTTGCAATAGAATATTTTTTTTCCTTTTTCTCAATATTTATGGCAAGACTACCAGAAGGTATATACCGTTATATTTGAAATTTAATAAAGCGGATACAACGATTATTATTTTTCTAATAGAATTGCTTTTAGTAATATGATTAATTTGCTAAAAAGGATTTACTGACCGAGGTCAATTTAGATAGGTATTTTTTATTACGTTCTTAACATAGAAGTTTCATACTTCAGTGGTTCTTAAACTAAAATTTATAAAATACAGTTTACCGCAGACGGTTATTCGTAATAATTTTGTCGTGGTGACGATCATATTGTGTTGAACAATAAATATTGGTATTTAAACTGCTGGTTTGCATTGCTTATGTCATGTTAATTATAGGTATACATATATTTACTTGCACCCGTCCTTGTTAGCCTCTGAAAATTTTCGCATAAGCTCCTCCCATTGCGACGTGCGTTTGTCTGACACACTGTAAGTACAATAATTTATCATTATCTTGTTTACTGCGGAACGTGAGTAATTTTATTTTAACCAATACATAAATGAGGATCATTGATTACAATTATTGTTATTATATGGTATAAATTATACATTTCTATAAACATGCTTGTGAACGCTGCTAATGTTTATGAAGCTATATATTTAATCGGTCGCGTATTCATAAATAAATTTTGAACTTTATACCCAAGAAATTATATTAGACTAGAAAATCTGTTAGATTTACTATCTCTAGCATTTTTAAATAATGTATAATGTAAAATTTAAGAAAACTATATTTCAATTTACGTTGTAGATTCATTCCATTATATTATTTGGAATAATAAATACAATGTGAACATTATATATGACTACTAGTATTTCTTCAGGCACTACATAGTTCTTTTTCATCCAACGTGACTCATCAGTCACTTACGAAAATTTTATTCGATAAGTTCCAGACTAGACATTTGATTATAGTATTTCGTATATTATCATCATCATCATCATCATCATCATCATCACCATCATCATCAACAGCCCACAGTCGTCCACTGCTGGACATAGGCCTCTCCCAATCCACACCATTATATATTATACTTCATGTAAATACATATGTCTGCTCAGAAGAGTTTCAAGTTGAAAGTCTCTAAAGAATTTACTTATATTTTCAAGAGCACCGACAAATAGTTAATTCATAAATGATATTAAAAGATTATGTGTGAAATAAAAAAAAACGTGTGGCACTCGGGAACTGCCGCGGTAAAGCTATTGCATAGCATTTTTTATCAACTTATGCAATTATAATTAAACAATGATAATTTAATATTAAAATAATAATAAAACAAGACCACGCTATATTAAACATTAATAAAAGTAATACATTAACTGTCTCCTTCACACTCATAAGCTAGACCGCGCGAGAGAGAGATGGACAGACTTTTCATGATGTGCATGCAGTGTGACCTCACGCCACGCGCTTATTCACAAACACTACACAAGCGCAACGTATGAATGTGTTGAACGCGAGCTATATGTTAGGCGGAGTAAGGGGTGTTAGGTCTTTTTCGTTACGGAATTTCATGATTCGGTCGCCGCGCTCAAGGCCCGCGGTAAAATCTATGCATTAGCTTAAAAATATTTGTGTTTAAGCTACTGGTTTGCATTATTTATGTCATGATAATTATATATTTACTTGCACGCGTCCTTGTGAGCCTCTGAAAATGTTCGCATAAGCTCCTCCCATTGCGACGTGCGTTTCTCTGACACACTGTAAGTACAATAATTAATTGATCATTATCTTGCTTACTGCGGAACATGAGCAATTTTATCTTAACCAATACATATATGACGATTATTGATTACAATTGTTATTATGGTATAAATAATACAATTCTATAAGCATGCTTGTGAACGCTGCTGATGTTTATAAAGCTATATATTTAATCGGTCGCGTATTCTTAATTAAATTTTGAACTTTATACCCAAGAAATTATATTAGACTAGAAAATCTGTTAGGTTTACTATCTCTAGCATTTTTAAGCAATGTATAATGTAAAATTCAAGAAAACGATATTTTAATTTAAGTTGTAGATTCATTCCATTATATTATTTGCAATAATAAATACAATGTGAACATTATCTATGACTACTAGTATTTCTTCAGGCACTACATCGTTGTTTTTCATACAACGTGACTCATCAGTCACTTACGAAAATTTATTTCGATAAGTTCCAGACCAGACATTTGATTTTAGTATTTCTTATATACTTCATGTAAATACATATGTCTGCTCATAAGAGTTTAAAGTTGAAAGTCTCTAAAGAATTTACTTATATTTTCAAGAGCACCGACAAATAATTAATTCGTAAATGATATTAAATGGATCCTAACTACAGTCGCATATCAGCGAAGAGAGTGGGTATAAAAACCTATTTTCTTAAATAACGAAGCTAAGTTAAAATCTACTAAATTTAATGTAATTAAAATTAAACTTGAATAGGAAATCGATACACTCAGACAATTAATTATTATTATTTGATTTTTTGTTTTAGTCCGAGATTGTAGATAAATGAAATGTTAATGCAGTTTATTGAAGTATAGTATGGACTGAAGTAAATGAAATAAAATGAATAAATAAAAAATAGCATTGTTGTCATTTTATGTGTCATACAAAAGTTACACAATGCGATAATCCATTTTGTTCGTAGCATTTGTGAAATTTATGTGCTAAATTAACTTACACCGAAACGTCGTGAGACTTATCCGCCGACATCGTGAACTCGAAAACTGCGAACAACAGATAATTGAGTTATAAAACGCTCGCTACGTTCATAATCTATTTCGACTTTGAAGAAAACAAGTTATTTTCACGTACCGTATTCGCGGAAGAATTCTTAAGTGCACGTACCGAAATTAGGAGACGTAGGATATTTTATGTATTTATTTTTAGATTTACTTGAAGAAGAGAAGAGAATTATTGCATAGATGGGTGAACGAGCACTTGGTGTTAAGTGGTTACCGGAGCCCATAGACATCCACGACACAAAAGCGCCACCCACCCAGAGATATCAGTTCTAAGGTATCAGTATAGTTACAACGGCTGTCCCACCCCTCAAACCGAAACGCATTACTGCTTCGCGGCAGAAATAGGCAGGGCGGTGGTACCTACCCGTGCGGTCTCACAAGAGGTCTCCTACCACCAGTAAGCAATTATAATTTTGCAGGTTTGATTTTCATTACACGATTCACATAGTTTGGCAATTAATATACGATCGAGTATCACGATCGCTTTGATTATCTTCTGCTTAATTATTTATGCGTTACCGTTTGACGGGTAGAATAGTCGGTAGTTCAATGCAATCGGAATTTCCATCTTATGGCTCAAAGTGGCTGGTAGCGTCCAAGTTGTAAGATCTTAGGGTTCTGGGAACCACGTAACACCAAGTGACTGAGATTATAATGTCATTTTGATACAGTATTTTTTTATTTATTGTTATTATTAATTTTAACGGTCGGTCATGTAATAAGTCTCCGGTATAAGTAATTCTTCTTTGTTTTTTAATTTAATTTAACAAACTGCTTAATTTGTTCAAGAAGAACTAATAAAGTGAATGCATATTTGAAGTAACTAAAATTTGTCGATAGGAATTCGTGACGTAATCGCATTATAACTGTTATGTCGTCAAATACAGCGATGTAATATTTTCCTAGAAAATGTGAGTTGCAACTAACATTAATGAAGGCAATGGTTTTACATTATATTAGGAGTACGAGCCACAATATAAGATCTCTTGAAATCTATAAGAGAAATGCTCGTTATTGTTGTTCTGAATTTAGTATTCATAGCGTACGATCGTATGGCCATGGTCGTGTGTGACGTTGCATGCATTATTTATAGTGAAAAGAGTGAAATTTATGTTTTTACCAGGAACCAATCGATAGCGAATTTAGTGTTTATAAAATATGTATGTATATGAACCATCGCAATGTTATTACTTGAAAGTATTTGCAATATTTTTTTTCGATTTTTTGCCACTCGTAAATAAATTGCCTCATTTGGTGTTAAGTGTTCGAGGGATTACATAGACCGTATTGTGTAAAAATTGCTAGCCGTTAAAATGGAAATCTTGATTACTTGGCTTTTTAATTCTATTTTATTTCAGCTATTCTACGCTTAATGTATATTCAATTTGATTAATGTAAATACATTATTATCCTGTTGTTGAATTATTACCTTCCTCAGATTTTTCTCATATCGACAAACTTCAAAAATTGTTATAAACTATATGTTGAAACGATTCCGATTTAAATCTACAACTCGATTAACGAAGGCGAATTAGGCGAAGCATCCGAAACTCACGTACCTATGTAAGATAACTTTTTTGCAATAGTACTCGTAGTTACGTCATTTTTACTGAAATTTGATCCACATTGATTCCATATTAAAACTATTTTACGGTTGTATATGGTTGTATATGTTGAACAAGCTCACGTTTCTACTGTTATTAAGCGGTTACCAGATCACGTATAATATATCTGTAGCGTCAATAACCCCACCCACCCAATTTGGAGCCATCAATTCCTATGCGTCAGATGTTATTTATAAAAAATATTCGACGTCTTTTTTCTGCTAGATTCGTAATAATCCATGTACATATTCTAGTAATTCGTGCAATATGAATCTTAATTTATGAACACATCTATCTATATCTATCTATTTAAATAAAAATAAATTGCTGTTCGTTAGTCTCGTTAAACTCGAGAACGGCTGGACCGATTTGGCTAATTTTGCTCTTGAATTATTCGTGGAAGTCCAGAGAAGGTTTAGAAGGTAAAAAAATATGAAAATGCTAGGAATTAAATAAAAATAACAATTTTGTTTTTTCTTTGATATGTCTCCCGTCGGACGGATTCCTTTTGTTTGTTTTAAGTTTATTTTATACAAAAGCTGAGATCTTTTATTTATCGATTGAGGCACTACGAAGTCTGCCGGGTCAGCTAGTTTTCAAATAAAAATATCCTATATGATATAATAGTGTGCCCTGATTGTATTTAGATAGTTCGGATATGCGACTCCGGATATATCGTTACTTCTACTAGCATATCCGACCCATCCATCCGCAGCGGTAGTATCCTTATATATTTTAAATTTATATACGCACTGATTCCATAGCACAAAGGACCCTAAAGCCAAAGAAAACTAAATCACCAACTATCTTTTTTCTGGGGTAAATATAAAAAAAGAAAGAGAGATATCTTTTCTGTTGTTAATATAAAATAAGTCAAACATTACCGGGGACATCATTAGGCATACAACAAATTGATAAACAATTATTACTAAGTTATGATAAACCATTATTACTAAGGTAGTTATAAAAATCTTGAAAGATGGAAGAAGCTGGGCTGTGAACCTGACGTCCTGGTGGCGGTAACTTCTCAACATCAGACGGGCCGTAAGCTCTGCCTTCGACGATAATCATAATAGTATTTGTAGCATTTTCACAGCATAAATACAGAGCATCATAGCGTTTTTTCTACAAAGGTAACAAGATAACAGGATCCTCGAAGTTTATATACAAGTAACAAGTCCCAAAGGTACAATGAACAAAATGAATACGTCTACTGAAATAGTTCTTATCTTTTGTACACAAACTATGCTTGCGGGAATCTAGAAGGTAAAAGTATTAATAGGTTCAGAGTTACTATAACAACCGACTATTTAATATTTTAAGCATCGTTAGAGGGTGAAATAAGTGTATAGTCCTCTTTCAACATAGAACAGTCACAAAACTAATCTGAATTATATTATTATTAATCTTGATAAATAATAATTTATATACCTTTTATTCGAATTCGTATTTAGGAGTTTTTGGTTCTGCTATTTTCATCCGAAGAAAAATCCCGTAATTTTAACGCCTTTTAAGTTTTGCGTGGTCCGTAGTTCTGAAATCGCTTTGAATAACAAATAAATGCTGAAGAAATTATTGTACTTATTGTTTTTTTGGTTTTAGAAAATTACTCGTTGAATGTATTTATCTATGCATTTAACAACAAAATGTAAAATCAAATTTTATGACATTTTGATGACAATCGAGTGCCAAAATATATTATAGTTTATAACCACTTTTTTAACGCCACAATTTTGGAATGATCTTCCCTCCACGGTGTTTGCCGAGCGCTATGACATGTCATTCTTTAAACGAGATTTGTGGAAAGCACTTAGCGGTGGGCAGCGGCTTTCATGACGTTTTTTTCCCTACCTATGCTCATAGCCTTGAGAGGCTATATCAGCGTTACCCTAGCGTGTAGGTGAGCTCTCGGGGATCAAACCAGAGGTGTTGCTAGCACTGGCCCTAGCAGGAGCAGTGCTTCGCAGAATCTACCACCGGATCGAAAACGCAACCCACTGAGAAGATACGGCGAGAAACTCAGTGGGGTATGCTGACGTTCATGAGCAACTGTGACCACTCAATATTACATGGTACCTAAGCCGTCTGTAAGCGTCTGTACACGGAGGCAATAAGCAACTATACTAAAATATGTAGAAGCAACCTGTTTTCATGTCAGCATAACATGCTTAAAACCAGCGAACCTGTTTGCTAAAACATGTATAATTTATTTTCTGTTTTACGGACATAGATTCCGTGGTTTCAATTAAGCTTATGCCCAACAGCCATTGCAGTTTCCTTGATCTCTAAAACAGGTCCGATCATACCGTTTTCCCGTCTTAATTAATATTGTTTTGACTGAACAAAACCGAATTCTATTTATAAATCACCCCTATAAAAATGATAAGCAAAATACCATGCAACAAAATCAAGGCCTCTCGGAATACACATCACGGTTAAAAATAACAATAGTGGATATATTTTTTTTTGTGTATAACCCTTTACCATTCTGTTTCTGCACTAAGCATTTCTCTTTTCCCCTTTGCCATTTCATGATTCCTGTCTGATGCGAGGTTTGGACGTGGGTTGGTGAGCGACAGGAGGTTTTTAGTCGGTTCGACATAGCCATGGCCCATGTCCGCATGAAAAAAAAAATCTGTTCATAATAAAATTATTCGCACGTAAAAGTAAAAACACAGTAAATTCCTTATGAAAACTTTGTATTTATTTATTGTGTAAAATATCGATTTTAACTGTATTAACTATGTTTATAACAGAGTCGTCTCTGTTTAAATATGAGTGACATCTTAGGGATAGCGTTACTGAGTTACAAAGCAGTGTTGCAAGTATCCAAATAACATGACATTTTGAGTAAATTCTCATTGTTATAATTTTATTAATTTTGTCGTTTAGATTATAAAGTTACACATTTTAACCACTAAGAACTCATTTTTAATTTCATTCATTGATTAATTTGAACATAATAATCTTGTTTTTTTAAATAATATTTCTATCTGAAATTAAACCGATTAATTCTTACGTTCTAATGGGGATTTCAAAATTGATTATTGTGTTAAAAATATTTCATTCAAAACATGTTTATTTAGTGGCACCTTCCCATTAGTCCGATCAGTTCTTTGTTCATCTATAAACATTGTTAATGTACGGAAAGTGGTTTTGAGTTGAATGTTTCTGATGTATTTAAAATTGAATTAATTGAGACTTAGCGTAAAGAAAAGGTCTTTAATACCTGTAAGTAGTTAGACACGACACCGAAGTACTAAGTTGTAGGTTGTATCCTTGTCAGTATGTCTACCACAATACAACCGTAATAACTATTAAAAATATTTCAATGAAAGAATTGTTGTTATTTGTTACAATCGTA